TCTTGCTGCAGTAATGGCCCAAAAGGTCCTGAAGCAGCTCCTGAAGCAAAAGGTCCATTGCATTGAGCCTCTGGGGCTGCTGTGGTGGGTGCAGAGGCCTGGGGCAGGGGGGGAAGCTGCACCCTTGGCACATTCTGTTCTGCAGCCACCTCTGCATCTCCTCCACGTTGTGCTGTTGATGTGGCTTCATACTCCAGGCAGTGTCTGAGCTGCTTTGTATTCCTTGGTCTCTTAGAAGGAGGTAGTTGCTTTTCTGTTGTGTGGCTGATGGAGACGTGGGAAACCCCAACGTATCTCACACGGAGCGAAGAGTAGTGCAGTTGCAGCTCAGAGAAAGGAATCAAGGCAAGAAATTGGGCACGTTAGAATTAAGATGTAGCTGCTCCTTTTACAGGAAGTGGCACTTCCTAATCCAGTCTAACAGCTGGTGGGTAATATTTCAAAGCTCCTCTGCAGCACTCCAGGAGCTGTGTGTTTGTTTTCCTGGTTTTGACTAATGAGGTCTCAGAGCTCTATGAAATATCCTCTGTGTCATTTCATTGGAAAGGGCCCTGAGAGAGAGGTTTTACCTGCTGGAAATTTAAGCCTAGGGATAACATTTCTTCCCTTTGGTTTAAAGGTTTCATTTAGGAGGAGTTTTGCATTATTCAGGCTGTGTCAAAGCTGACATTTTGTGCTGGCTTTTAATACCTCCAGCACAGCACAATGCAGTCACTTCTGGTTCCTTTGCCCACTTTCCCTTGGGATTAATTTGACCTGATAGGTGCAATGATGGCATCAATATTTCCCTAAAGGCCTGTCAAGAAATGAAACAGACTCATAATGTTGTATGTACCCTCTGTGGAGGAATTAATAGGGTACATTGGCCTCATCCACTGTGGTATTTTAAATCTCTTGGGGCAGACTAAGAAGCACAAGAGTTGAGCCTACAAAGTCATGAGGGAAATGGGGAGAGGGTGCAGAGAGATTGGCTTGTCTCTGCTTGGGATGGGCAGCAACAA